ATAGGCAGGCATTTACTTGCCACCTGTCACCAGTTTGATCCGGCCACAATGTTTACAATCGTGTTAAGACATGCTAACACCCGTTTCCTACGTTTTGCAGAAGCAGTCGCGATCAGTCGTATCAAACCCGCACTCTGTGTGCAGAAACAGTTGTTCGTAAGCCTACGGCTGCCCTGGGCATAGGGGTGTCACGCCTGCCCCTCTACCCTGTTCTAACTTGTTCCGGTCTCACCCTACCTTTGGTCTCATATATTTTCATGTTATTGTGTTGGCACTGAAGAGACAATACGAAATGTTGACATCTGCCAGTGTTCCTCTTCTTACGGCATTATTCAAATTACTAAAGGGATCTAATTGTTTTAAACATTTATTGTCTATTTGTAAACACTTCCCCTTGCTTTCCGGTATATAATATTCACCTGACCACTTGCGGTTGTAGGTTAGAGCTTATCTGAGTCCTTGACTTCATTTTTATGGCCTTGTTTATGGTACAATTTATGCACCTGATATGTGGAAAAACGAGAGAAAACTCCGTTTCGCAACTCGTCCCCATTCAGCCAACTACCGTTTTGTTGCTCTTCTGGCAGTTCTTTCAAATTTCTTGAGAGCAACTGTTGCCGATGTATTAAGCATCTGCCTCGAAAAACTACTCTATCTTGCAAAAATAGTATGGCTTCCGACGAAATCAACCGTGCGCTACCATTCTACTACTGGCACAATTCACCTAGACAAAAGCCTTAGACACCGGTGTAGGAGTTGATGTGTTTTACCTCAACTTCTCAAACGCATTCGTTCGGTTAAGCCATCTCATATTTCTATCCAAACTTCAGGGCTTCGACATTGATGAGCTCTTAAGGTGGATCAGAAGGTTTTCCTTCCATTGGCGTTAGGAGATAAGAGCTCATGGATTTCTTTCAAAACTCGTTCAAATCGAATGGCTAGTACCACAAGGATCGCTACTAAGGCCGCGGTTTTAGTTGTTGTAAATCAAAGATAAAACACTTCATAAACTTGGATTGTCTGCACCATACAGATGACATCAAGATGTGGAAGGCAAGCAATACGCCAAAGCTGATCATACACTACTTCAACACGATCTTGCTAAGGTTTGATTCTGGTCAATCCACAACCTACCTCGGTTCAAAGTGGAAAATATAGAATACTTAATACATTTTCTATAGCAAATAGCGTAGTCTTAGACACTGGGTAACCAGATGCTTCAAACGTCTCCCAATGAAAACGAAATCTGGGTGTTCTGATCCAGGGCGACTTCGGCTATTCGGATCAGGCTGAAAAAGTTTCAAAAAGCGCCATTCAAAACCTAGACCTCTAGCGGCGTGTGTTCGGGCGCTTCAAAGCGCCGATATTTCAGCAGCTTCATGACGCATACATACCATCACACATGAAAGCCACGATGCAGGTCTGGCAACCATGGCTGAAGGCAGCTGTCACAGCTGTTCGATGCCTCGATGCCAGTCAGAAAAGTACGTCAAAGTTTGTGCCAGTTGCCCTATGAGCAAAGGCTGACAGTGCTCGGAGTCTTCATTGGACGATACCGTCAAGTAAGTGGGGATCTTGTTATGACTTATCAAATTTTGAGGTACCCCAACCATGCACATCACCTTCTGTTGGAGCTCAGTCACCACCGTAATCCGAGAGATCACCATCTCATGTTGGTAGAGCGGTACAATTGTTTAGAATAGTGTCGGAGTTTCTTTTCCGTACGCGTTGGCCAATCATGGTATGACCTTCTGTCATCCGGGATCCCAAGCAGGTGGGGTTCAAAATCCGGATTGACCATGCACTCCGTCTCACATGTCTAATCGCCTATTACAAAACACGATTTTCAGCTAAAATTAACTGCCGGTCAGCATCAAAGGTAAGTCCCACTCTTTCACGTCCTGTAAGTGGTGTTCACCAGAAGGTGAAACAGATATTATGACCGGAGCATTTGTTGTCGTTCCCAATAGATCAACATGTTTAATGCGTATGTGTCCACTGTTGTGAACTTACTCGTAAGGGCGTCTTCCTATATTTTGCGCAAGTCACCCGGACTACCGTATGGGACTGTTAAGCTTTAGTTTTGTACCTGTAGTATACCATCGTCCCACTGTTCGCATTTAAATGATATAAAAATTGCGTATGTGCTCACTAGTTTTAATCATGCAACTTCCTTTTTTGGCAAAATTGGTCAGATAGTGTGGTTCATTTAATCAGTAAGGGTTTTGACTTCATTGGCTGCTCCTTGAATCGACCGTCAACATGGCCGTTATGAATGATTTTATCGGCGTCATGCAATAGTTCCAGCGGGGTCAGCCTGCACATGGCACACCCGTCGCCCTGAAAAGAAGAGGATGGAAAGATTTTAGGAAGGATATATGAGTGCACATGAGGCGCATAGCAGAAATTAAATTCCAGCCAGTGGTTGGCCCGATGTCCAGTGACTGAACTTTCAGTCCAGGCGATGTTTCGAACGGTCTTCTAGTTGAAATTCTAGGCCATTCTACACAGCACAATAACCTTGGTATCGTAGATTCTGAGGTTTCTCCGGGTATTATATACACTTGGTGTTATGGACATTCACAGAATGTTACCCAGAGAAATGTAAGAGCAAGGAAAACATCAGACTTGTTCGTCACATCTGCTGCCTTCTTCGTATGCTTGGTAGTTAGAGCGAAGGTCAACCAACGCACCGCACTGCTGATCTTTGATGTTACACAGCATATTGTACACGAACACGCTAACAGCCTAATCAGTGGTCAAACGAAGTCACACATTTATGAACAGGTGCATTGACTCCACTTGAAGCCGATGCATGCATTGTGGAGGAACGTAAATCAACGCCCTGTTAAAGGTGAAAATTTAACCAGTTTCCTTTCCTAGGTTCCTCTAAAGTATCATTAAATAGGTTCAGTTGAAGAAAGTAGAGTCTGAATTTTGAATATTCTACACAACACTAGGTGACGATCTCGAAAATATCTACCGTATTCTCAGGAAAATTCACAGTACGCGGTGATTACACAGGTCGGGGAATTCCAGTTCACTTAATTGCCACTAAAACAACGCAATATCTAATCATTTGTAAGAGGTGTCGTGGCAACGGAAAGTGCTCCTGCCCAAGCAAAAGTGCTTCGGTCGGAGACTGCAACATCGAAGGTATATGAAAACCCGTCGTATACGCCACACTTGAACAATAAATAGTCCATGGTACGCTGGTGCACACACATTTCAGCAGCTAACTTGGTTTGCTAAAATTTGGAGCTGCAGCTTGTACCCCGAGTTTCCAAGGAATCAGATGTCTCGCTCAATGCCAATAAAATCTTGCGTGACAGTTGAATACTGTAGCATAAAGTACTGTAGGTTTTGTAGGTCAAGGAGACCCATTCTGTAAATAATAATAAAAATATACCCAGAAAGTGAATAAATGATGGTAGACAATGGTTCAGTAAACAAGCTCTTTTTCGGAGGTTCATCGTCAGATCAAATATAACACATTTAAATAGTTAAGGTAAGAAAGGGTGAAATAAGTAGCTAGAGAATGAAGCTGTTAGAATGTCATTTCTGCCCACGACAGCTGCCCGTGCGACAGCTGGCCATCGTAAAGGCAAAACCTTAAAAAAATTTTATGTACACACATTGGCAGGTTTGTGAGACGAATCGCGTTCGCTTCCACCAATGCAAGGATTCGTCAACTCATAAGCTTTGAATGGAAAACGAGCTTTTCTACCAGACCGTTTTTTCATGACTGAATCTGGAATTATTCACCATTTGATGGGAGACAACCGGTATTGATTCCTGTCTTGCTATTAGGTCCATCACCCCATGCGGGTGTGAATTGCCCCAACAAGGCTAATCACCTCTCTCACGAGATGAGGTGACCAGTGGCTTTTAGATAACAAAAACGACAAGATCCAATCGCTTGTACTGAAGGCATGCTGTCCTTCTGACAGTGCGTGTTGAGTACATACTGCGTGGAGGTATAAAACAGAAGCTCGGCGTCAGCCCAGGAGCTCCGATATCTTAGCACTCCTTGAAGCGGAACACCATTCAGCAGCCCACTACAGTAGTAGCCACAGGTACATGGTCCTACCACACCCCACTTGCTTCCTAGTCGCCTGAGAAGGCATTGGTAACAGTCGAGGGCAGTTGAGAGCAGGTTACGTAATCAGAAGAGGTAGGTTGAAGAGTTGTTTAGTTATTCTAGACACCACACAAGGATAAGCATTGCCTAAGCTTGTGTTTTTATACAGAGCTGAGTGATTCCAAGGTTTCTGCGAATATAGTCATTTAGTTGTCCTCTTACCGTCTGCTACACAACTAGCTTATCGTCAATATTTGCTCACCGAATGTAGCCACGGTCTGACACAGTTTTTGTGATAAATGTGAAAACATGGCAGCGTGATGATCGTATCGCCCTCCTCAAAATCAACCAAACAAATAGGGCATGTGGGTAGCTTGTTCACTTGCGCGCGTTCCACGGTGGTAGTCAGAGAGTACACGCTGAGACGGATTCCGTGAGCATCTAGGATAAAATGGAAAACAGAAAGCACATTACTGGACATTCATGGCCACCAGTGTTTCGAATCTAGTTCGCCTTTTCCCAGTGATAGACCTACAGTGGGTTCTGTATTTAAAGTGAAAACAAACGAATCTATCCCTAGGGAGCGGAAGGCTACGTCTTCAGTGTTGCTAACTGAAAAAGAGTCCAGGAAGTCAAGCAAGTTAGCTGGGCCCTAGCTCAAACCATTAGCAAGATGGAATAAGCGGATAAACTTATTCCTTCGTGCTTGCTGAAAGGGATAATATTACCTCAACTCTGTTATCAACTATGTAGATTATCAAAGTGAAAAGGCAGTGATCTGATATGATCCTAGTTAAGTTGTTTACGTGATACCAACAAGCTCGGAATAGTTGTTTGATACGAATTGGACCAACCAGCCAGGCCGACAGGCAAATTTACATAGTAGGCCGTAGCATTGGTTCATGCATGAATGAACGATGTAATATTCGTAATCAACGACAATAGGCACCATTTCTAGAACCGGATTGTTTCTCAGATTAAATTAACAAGACCTCCATGAGGGATATAAATTAGTAGGTATTTGTGTAGTTGTCCCAAAGAGTGAACTGCTTATTATTAAAGAATCATGATGATCGACAGAACGCGGGAAGCTGAAAACAGGAGCTTAGCTTATTAGTTGTGAGTACCGAACGGCGATCTGATCCACTTATTATAATCCGCACTGAAAAAGTTGCAATAATTATGCTTGGGCTTTGGTCGGCTCTCAACCGTAACTCACTCACTATACACAACGGTTGACTTTGCGGTGTATTTCGTATATCAATAAAAAAGCATTCATCATGAACTCCAAACAACTGAACCTTTGTATACGTGCTGTGTGAAACTGACATCGAAGTTAGCAATCAAATGGTTAAAACAAGTTTATTCTTAAATGTCGGATGGTTTATTATGGACCACCGGAATACGCTAAGTATGCAGTTACCTGCCTTGAGAAATCGTCAAAGGTTGTCCTGAGAAGGCTTAAAATACTGTTGGATCTGTTAGCTGTTTTATTCGAATAAAGCCTTAGACAGTACTTCACATAATCAATTATTTGAAAAATACTGCAGGCGCTTATTTTCTATCGTCGGTTGCTTCTCACTGTCTACTAAGAAGTAAGACAAAGTTCCTGTTTTATATTTCAAGGAACTTGGTGGGAGCAACGAAATACGCCGGTTGGTCAAACGACGGGGATCAGCATAAGTAGCTCAGGCTGTAAGATACTACGGATGCTACAGGAAGTCAAATGCGGTCTTCAAGCGGTTGGTGAGTTCATCATTTCAGTTGTACGCAAGTATGAAAAGTAAACTTGCTTGCATTAAGATTGGGGAGAGAAGAATCTGGTAATGATCAACAACATTGGCAAAAAGTATAGTGAAACGTTAGGGTGTCGGAAAAGCAACATTATCACATGAGCAGCCTGATATCCAGCTTGCTAGCACGACTACGTCGCCGACATCGGTACTAAAAATAGTCGCTACTACCACACCTAGGCTTGCCAGCAACACGCTAGTATTAGGTGTTTGCCTATAAGCCGTCACCTTCGTGTACTACGAGAGCTGAAGAAGAAGCGAGCGGTTGTACTTAAGCCAGCCAAATGCTCAGCAACTGTTAGTATGTGTAAGGAAGAATACGCACAGAAAATGCAGGATTTACTGAATGATCTCAGCAAATTTAAACTCCTTACAAGAACAGTGGATGTTACTGAAGTAGAAAGAGGTATCACGGGCCACCTAAAGTTGCTCCTTTTACACGTGTGTATGATGAAAATGTATATGACAGCCTAAAATCGGGAGGGTCCAACATTCCTCAGCTAGACGGGTTGCCGACGACCCATAAATGTGGCACACCGCTTAGATTAATCTTGTCGATGGCAAATTCGGCACAACCTAAGCTGGCTCGTTGACTAGTGGAAGTTCTTACGCTAGTAAAGCGGAAGACTATTCCACACCGTTTGAAGGGCTTTTTCGAATTCACCGGAGCATTAGAGAAATTTAACTTTCCGATAAAATCATGGCCTCATTGGATGTAAACTCGCTTTTCACCAACGTTCCGATACAGGAAACAATTGATTATGTGTGTGATTTGACAGAGTGCTCCAATATAACTCTTCCAATACCAGTTGATTTAGTGAAGAACAGCCTACTATGCTGCACTGTGAACATCCGTTTCCATTTCCTTATCATCAGATACATGGGGTGGCGATGAATAATCCGTTGCGCCCAGTGTTAGCAGAATTTAGTTTGTCGATGTTTGTAACAAAGTTGTGTGGAAATATCGCTTCTGTCCTACCATAAGCGGTATGCAGATCATGTTTTTGTGTTTAGCTCATCAGAAGAGCCCATTGCGCGTCTAGCCGATTGCTTGAACAACGTGCATACAAATACGAAAGTAACCCGGGAATTGGAAAAAACCAATTGCCTCCCATATCTGGAGGTGTTGATTTGCCGAAGAGCAGATCAGTCCATCAAAAGAGAGGTTTGCCGAAAACCGACTTGGTCAGGGCAGTACCTGCACTTTACCAGTTTCTCTCCAATGCGGTACAAGCGGACCTTAGTCAGGACGGTATTCAACCTTAGAAGAAAATTATGCACCACCGACAGTTTGGATGATGAGATAAACTCGCTCAAGGATCCGCTGTTGAAAAATGGCTATCCAAGAAGATTCATCGAAAAACATAGTCAGGCAAGGGTGCCAGGGCAGAAGATGTCGACAGTTGCCATAATGTCTACATCGAGCTCCCATTTAGGGGGGATTTTGCCAATATGACCACAACGTAGCGCATAATTTTCGCAGTCCAGAGGACGTAGCATGCTGCTTAAACTGTTCTTGTCAACCGGACTCATCGAATACCTGTTACCCCAATGACGGAAAGACAACCTGTTGGCGCCAACCCTCTATTAACTCCAAACAAATGCCGTCGCCTTATACAGTGTCACCATTACTCCAGAGGCTGTCGTGAACAAATTACTGTCTCTTCGGGAAAACAGTAAACCAGGAATCGATGAGTTCTGTCCAAAGGTGCCTAATACTCTATCCTCCATCATGGCATATATCTTGCAGCGTTTTCCAGGGTGTGTTTGACTCCCATACACTCCCATCTATGTGGAAAATTACAATCATCACTCCGATATACACAAGAGGTAAAAGATTAGATCATGTCAACTACCAACCTATTACTCTCCTATATGTTTTATCAAAAGTGGTGTAATCGGTAATCGCAGATTAACACGCGATATTTTGAAAGTCTGCGTATAATTTCCAATGTTCAACACTGTTTTAGGCGCGGACAATCTTACCTCACCTACCTGCTCCTTGCCCGGAATTCATGGACCAGAGCAGCTGTTGAAGGAGTCCCCATAGATGTGGTTTACTTAGGTTTTGCTAAGGCATCCGACAGGGTCAATCCCTTTGTTTTCCTGCAAAAGCTTTCTGCCTACGGCATCAGCGGTTCCTTGCTCACTGGGTTGGAAAATTACCTACAAGACAGAACCATCAAGGTAAGAAGAGCCAACGCTCACTCCGAAAGCTATGCGTATCCAGTGCTGTACCGCAAATATCCCTACTCGGTCGGCTACTGTTGTTACTTTACGTAAAGGACCACCCAGAAAACATTTTCTCCCCGAAGCAGATATTTGCAGATGATGCTAAAATATGGGGAGCAATTCGCTTAGCATCCGATCGTGATTATCTCCAGAACCATCTGGACTGAATTAACGAATTGTCAAAAAGGAACCACCTCTCACTGAACCCGGAAAAGTGCCACCTGCTGACGGAGCGTAGCCGCTTCAGCAACAAATACCTTCTGGGACAGCATGTGTTGCAACAAGTGACTAGTGAACAAGACTTTGGATCAGCCTACAAGAATGTCTTGGCAATTCGCTCCAATGTTCGAAAGCAGAGAATGTGGCGAACTTGAACTTGAGGCTTTTGAGGCGAGCTCTTGACACCTTTGATCGACGGCTAGTACGACTATTGATTAACACATATCTCCGTCCCCATGTTAACTATGCGGTTAAAGCCTGACGCCCATGGTTAAAACGAGATATTCGGCTCTTGTATAAACCCCAAAGAAGGGCTACCAAGACAACAAATGGAGTCTCCGGTCTCAGTTACGAACTGTGCCTACATTTTTTGGTTTCTTCTCCTCAGAATATCGACGGCTACGCGGGGACCTCGTTCTCACATGCGGGATACTAACTGAAAGCTAGCACCCATGTGGATCACTGCTGACTCTAGCCCCTTACAAACAATATCGATGCCATCAATGGAAACTATTGAAGTAACACCCGTTTGGATTGAAGGAAATTTTTTAGTTTCTTTGAATCTGTTCACACTGAAATGCACTACCAACACATGTGGTGAACGCACCAGGCATCGCAACATTCGAGAGACGGCTAGCTTCTCATCTTGTGACTAAACGGTACAAAGCAGTGTGATAAAGTGCGATGTCTTCACTGGTGATTATTCAAGTCCCACGCTAAAACATTTTTGATTTTACTTTCCTTGTGCATTTTCCACCTTGTAGGTTTTGTAAAATTATGCTTTTTATTCAATCATACACTATCAAACTATCGAACATTGTATTTACCAATTTTATTGTAATTTGGTACAGGTTACATCGGCCGTAACAAAAGTTCGCTGCACTCCAGAAGATGGGAAATTTTACTTAAATGGTTGCAGCGTCAAGTCACTCGTTCGTCGGTTGCTCATATCACCTGTTCACGTAGGCCACTTGCTTCATCCATTTGCAGGCATTTATTGACTACCTGTTATCCGTTTGATCCAGCCACAAGGTTTACAATTGTGTTAAAACGTGCGAACGCCCGTTTCCTACGTTTCGCGGAGGCAGTCGTCATCAGCCGTATCCAACCCGCACTCTGTGTGCAGAAACAGTTGCTCGTAAGCTTACGGCTATCTTGGGCATAGGGTGTCACGACTGCACTCTACCCTGTTCCAACTTGTTCCGGTCTCACCATACCTGCCGTCTCATATATTTGT